TGCATAAGTTTTCGCCACCTCCCGTCGTCACCACCGGCTGTCAGGAAGAAACGATTTCATGAATTGTGACAGCTCGTAATCGATACTTGTAAGGCGGATACAGGTCTTTCAGTGTAAGGTGGATACAAGTGTGTCAATAATTTTATAAATCTTACCATAGTCGTTAATAACCTTAGTGAATGCAACGATCATGAGTCCCTAATTCATCATCATCATGATCATCGTTTTCATCATCTCTTTTTCATCATGATCACTATCGTCGTCGTCTTCGTCATTATCGGCGTCATCATCTATGGAATAGAATAAATTTACTATGTGTATTTCATGTGCTACATGCCACATAACAATTCTTAAAATATAATCTGCTTTCATCCTTATCTTTTATATCAATCATATAATATATGCACATTAATATATATATATTTTTTATCCTATAAACTTTCTCTAGCCATTAATAACCTCATCGTCGTCGCCATCATCTATCTCCACCTCACCTTCATCCTCATCCTCATCACCACCATCTGTGAAATAAAATAAATTACTTTGTATTCTAGTGATTCCTCCCACATGTTACATATATAACAATTCTTAACAAATGATTTTTTTGTATCCTTTTCTTCTCCACTGATCACATATGTGCACATTAGCATACAGTGCGAGGCTTACTCACCAAACATATTGCAGACGTTTCCTTCAACAGCAACTGGCACTCTTTGTACAGGATATAGTGTCTGTGCCTATGTTGTGTGTGATATTTTATAAAGATGATATTTAAAAATGCTTCTATTACTATATAAGCAATCACCGTCACTGGTACTACGTTCATTATATATATATATATATATTTTTTTTTCATTTTTTATTATTTTTTATCTATTAGTTCTTAATCTACTTTCATTGTTTACAGATTTTATCCGTTATCTTTAAGCCACACATCCTCATAATTTTACATCAGATGTGCTTGGTATCATCCGTATTTTCCTCATATCGAAGAGATGGACATAAACTTTTTAAGGTCATTTACAGCAATTCAGAACATGTTTTTTTTTTAAATTGGATTTTTTTTTTTTCTGTATATTTTGCATATGTCTAGAGTATTATTGAAAAGTGATGCAAAATCTTACATAGGGACTACACCGACACGTTCACGAGAACTACCTATGTAAGACTGGCATGGTATCCCATTATTATTCCTTCGTTGTACTCACATGTCGTACAGGTTAATATGTCTATGAACATCTACATTAATAGATATACATTTATTTGTATTTTTTAACTGATGAACATCTCCAAAAGAACAATTGCTATCAAAAATATTATCTACCAATGCGTATGCAGTGTCCCTTTTTTTTTTTGGGGGGGGGGGGGGGGGGGGCTTATCCACGTTTATTTTCTTTCTGATCTTTTAGTTATCCTACTAAATACCACCTTCTACCAAACTTTTGTGAAAGAAAGGTGCTAGCAGTTCACTTAACGTAGATCTGAGTTTCTCGATTGTCTCAACTAAATCACCCTTTTCTATGAAGTCCGCAAAAAAAAAAAAAAAAATCTCATCTTCCTCATCATAATCATCATCATTACCACCATTGCCATCTCCATTGAAACTTCCAGTTCCGTGGCCAGCTCGAGTTGTTTCAATTCCCTATCGCCATCATCGCCACCCCCACCATCCCCACCACTACCACCATCCCCACCACCACCACCACCATCGTCGTCATCACTTATTTTGTCTTCTTAGAGGGGGAGACAGACTCTGAGTCGGATGGCCGTTTAAGAGAGGGACCGACGTGGGTGTTTGGTCCCCGAGGCGAAGCGGGACGATTAACTGATGGCTGGAGGAAATGTGATAGGTCGAATTGGCTAAGTGTATTATAATCATTAACTGTCAAGGGGTTGGATTGGTTAAATACACTATTTATTAATGAGCTTGAGATGTCTTGGGGCTGTAGGTGGGGCTGTTGTTGCTGGTAGTGATTGGCTCGTAGGTAGAGTTGCTGTTGTTGTGATGCTAATATATTGATTATGAAAACCTGTTGTTGCTGTTGTTGATCTTGTTGCTGCTGTTGTTGATCCTGTTGTTGCTGCTGTTGTAGATCCTGTTGTTGCTGCTGTTGTTGTTGCTGCTGTTGTTGTTGATCCTGTTGTTGCTGCTGTTGTAGATCCTGTTGTTGCTGCTGTTGTTGTTGATCCTGTTGTTGCTGTTGCTGCTGATCCTGTTGTTGTTGATCCTGTTGTTGTAGATCCTGTTGTTGCTGCTGTTGTAGATCCTGTTGTTGTTGTTGATCCTGTTGTTGTTGATCCTGTTGTTGTTGATCCTGTTGTTGCTGTTGCTGCTGATCCTGTTGTTGTTGATCCTGTTGTTGTTGATCCTGTTGTTGCTGCTGCTGTTGTAGGTAGGGTTGTTGTGATCCTAATATATTGATTATCAAAATCTGTTGCTGTTGTTGCTGTTGGTGGTGGCGGTGGTAGTGGTGGGTTTGTTGTTGTTGGTGTTGCAGGTGGGGCTGCTGGTTAACCTGGCAATCAGTCGGGTGGTTATTTATTAATGGATATGTGGATGTGTGGTGCTGTGGAGCCGGTATCTGTACCTGTAACCGACTTGGTGGCGGTGGCCGACGCTGCAGCTGCGACGGTGTTTGTGTCTGGAGATCATCTCCATTCACGAATTGGAAATATGTTGACAAGCAATTATACAGTGTTTCCATAATCTCATCTTGTTCTGATGATTCTGATGATGGTAGTGGTCTGGGGTCAGTTATGTTTTTATCAATTGATGGTAATGAAAGTGACCGTTTAACTAATATATCTCTCACTAAATATACTAAGTGTGACAGTTCACTGACAAGTGCATCTTTAGAGAACTGGCCTTGATCTCTATATATATCATCTTTATTATTCATCAGTGTTAGAATTTGTTCTGGTATTGGTGCCTGTAGATTCTCTATCATATTTCTCATGTCTGAAAGAAAGAAAAATATATATGAATATATACATACATATATAACACGCAACACATTGTATATCCTTAAAAAAAAGCACGTGAACATAGGGTGACTTTTAAAAAAGTGAAAAGATGTACGTACATTACATAGATGTTGATTTATGCATAAAAAAAACAAATAGTTTAAAAGAAATCACACTACAACAAAGTGATAAGGTAGAAGAATTGATATTAAAGCCAAATAAAAAATGCAACAGAATTAGAATTATATAGGGGCAAGTAAATGCCCCTATATCTAGTACATATAAGGCTCTTCGCAAACGCCAATCCAACTCTTACCGATAAAAAACAGAGCTCACAGCCATTCTGTGCTGATGGCGTCACTACTCCTAGGTGCTGATTGAGCAAGGAATAATTAGCAGTTTATAATTATGTACATTTTTCTTATGTGTATTATAAACTGTTCTGCACGTTGTACACTTCCACTTCATTTTTTTTTTTTTATTATCTCGATATCTTTTCTTGATTCTTTTCAGTGGCAAACAGGAATCACTGTAAAGAATGCGTCCCATCTGTTTTCCATACCGTTTGCCCAGTGGATATTAACTTAATATTAGAGAGAGCGAGTTGTTTCCATGGTAAGAACATTTGTCAACCATGCCCGTTTCCAATCATTCGAGACTTGAGCATTCATAGCCGTTATTTACGTTTAATGTAAAACCATCGAAAGAAATGTGTAAATATGAAGTCAAGCGGAATTCAATGAAACAGTATTTAGCGAGTGAAAAGTACCAATGTGGTAATTGTGTTCAGTTATCTAGCATGTTCGTGTTCTTACTCTGCAATATCTTTATTAATAGCTGTTACATAATAGTACATGGCTTCTTTCTACTTCTAATCTTAACTTACGACAGACCGCCTAATAGGAATTAATTACAAATTTAATCTGTAACTTTTCGTTAACGTTAACGTTTACAATTGGATTGACGTTACCGGAGGCCCTTAAATGATACAAGTACGTCCCACTTCATCCCATGAAGATGGAAATATATAATTTTTTTATGAGGAACAGGAACAGGTTTTAATAAAAGACAGTAAGCTCTGTATACACTTGTACACGGAGAGTTCTATAATAATAATCTGGAAATCATATAATTTATAATGTTAAAAGTAATAAGACATTTTATACGCATACATTTCACACATGTAAAAAGTCGAATCACACGCACACATATAATAGTTTACTTACCACTTATAGCTTTCTTTAATTCGTCTTCCATTCTTGATGACAAATAATAGTGTTAATAGCTATTCATTTTTGCTTACTCCCTTACCTCAGGCAACATTTCATACACAAACTTTTGTTTACTCTGCAACTTTAGGTAACATTCCTCTCTCTCTCACGTACACACACATACACACACACACAAACATATAAGCACATTTAAAAACAGTGACCTTCGAAAATCAAATAACATTCCACACGCAAACAGAAAATAGATTATCAGATCTCCCTAACGCTCCCTATAACTTAGTATCCTTAATTAGAGACGAGTTTTCTCCGTCCCTATATCTTAGTGTCCCTATTTAACATGAGTTTTCTCCCTCCCCTATAACTTAGTGCCCCTAATTAAATGAGTTTTTTTCCCTCCCCCAAAATCACGACACATCCAAGCTTCTCGTCAGATTCAGAATCCAGACCTCAGCAATTTCAACAATGGAGTCCGTTACCATCATATATCTATAACATTATATACGAATACGTGTGCACACGCGCACTTAAATTCATCCGTATGTATGTGTATATGTGCACGGGTGTGGGTGTATGTGTGTTTGTGTGTGTGCGTGAATATGTGCATACGTGCCACAAGTGGTGCGTTAGAACATAAATGACTAATGCATGAGTCATGCATGAGTCATGCAAGCATCTTCCCGCGAGGCGGACAAGTGTCCTCAGAACGCCACCGTCTCATGTATCCACAAAATATCGATCTTTTCTAACACGAATGAAATCAATTTTTAATGATAAAAAGCGAGGTAATTAACTGTTCGGTAAAGCTTAATTTCTTGATGATGCAAATTAATAGACGACTGGATGATATAGAATTAGGAAAACTTTCTAATATATATATTTTTTCTCAAGGGAAAACGCTTGAACCATTGCTGCCTCGCCACCGCCGCCACCATCATCCTCATTACCATTACCATCACCATCGTCACCATTACCATTCCCATCACCGAGCATGATATCAGTAGGAGAGAAATCTTAATAACTATTCTTTTTTGCTTAGTCCCCAACCTCCGGCAGCATTTCACACACACGCAAACTTTTGTTTACTCCCCAACTCTAGGTAACATTCTCTCACACAAACACACACACTTGAAAAAAAGTTTTGGCCTTCGAAAATCAAGTAACATTCCACACGCAAACAGAAAACAGATTATCATAACGCTCGCTAAGTAACATTTCTAACGTATACAAATTATTATTCATACTATATAAATTAAATTCAGCATTAGATTCATCAGTTAAACGGTCACCTTCATCACTGTCGACAATTAATAATAACAAAACAACCTAGACCATTTAATCTGCGCAATACAAAACTTGATAAGCCCAGAGCCACTACAAAACTTGGTGCCCCTAATTAAACATGAGTTCTGTCTCTCCCTCTGCGTACTGGTGCCCCTAATTAAACTTCTCCTAATCAAAATAGTTTTTTTTTTTCGTCCTTATATCTTAGTGGCCCTATTTAGCATGAGCTTTCTCCTCCCTCCTGTAACTTAGGGCCCCTAATTAAAGATGAGTTTTCTCACTCCCTATAACCAAAATTACTATCCCATCTCAGAGTCCACATATTGTGTAAATGCCGATAAAATATATGAGGAGAACTATGATATAATGAAGAGAAGAAATATGAATGATGAAACACTTATAAAAAAGTTGTCCGGATCACACGCAAACATATCGCTCATTTATTTCAACAGTGACATAACTCAAAAATTGAAGATTTTGAGTTAGTTATATCACTGAATTTGTCATTTTCTATATTTATTTGTGGTAAGAACGCCATAACTCTAGTATCAAAATTGTCCATTATATGTCGCTCAAGGCATAGTGACTCATTTTCTTTCAGACGAATCGTTTAGTTGGCATAGCGTTTTATTTCAGTTACGTCTTGACTCTTGCAGAGGAAGCATCGTTTTAGCTCCTGCTACAGTGACATATTTCTTGTTATGACAGTGTTCTGACAAGGTTAGTAATTGTTTGTTATCTTAACGTTTTGTTGAACAATGAATTATTTAGACTTAATGCGATATTGAAATGATATGTATTAAATTTCTTGCCTATATATGTCACAATATGACATTGTTGAAACTAAATGGTGTATGCGCAATCAAAATATTTTGTTTTGTGTCATTCTTACAACCAAACAAGCAGTCACTTGACTGTATGGAATTAGATCTAAGTAAAATTATGGCATTATTGAAACAAAACTGTTCAGAATTGCAATTTCAGTCATGATACATCTTTTATTATGTCATTCTTGCAACAAAGTATGTTACTAGGATATGTTTAAAGCTACATTTAAGACATTTACTCTAAGCATGATGTTTAAGTATTAACCTTATAAATCAATAAATTTGATGTTATTACAGGTAAATATGACCAGTCGAGGAAAACAACTCTTACAATTAGCATTGGAATCGGTAGAAAACACAAAACAAGCATCATCCAAGGAGCCTGAAGTGACTGAAACTTTCTCTGAGTCAGGTAAGCTGGTGAAGGATTAAGATTTGTCTAATATTTCATATAATTAAATCAACGATGATAAAAATATTTACCTTCAAATTATCTCCTACGTAATGCAAGTAGGCCTACTGTATAATCATTATAGCCTAATGGACATCATTACTGTAGCGAATACCATTGGTATTTTTAAAAATAAGTCTCCCCCCAAAATATTTTATGAATTCATGCATGTTGCATAATAATGTATCTTATATTGTTCCAGGAAAGAATGTCGAAGTCCTAGTAAACCAAAACGAGACACCACCAAGTTCTTCCCAGAACACCAAGAGTGTAGGCCTAGGGATGTCGACAATGCAGTGCACACATTTGGGTGAAAGGCGTAATTCTACATCAAGCAATATTTCTTCATCAAGTAATAGCTCTTCATCAAGCAGCAGCACCTCATCATCCTCGTCAAAGAGCAGTGCATCATCAACTCATGCAGCAACACCAGAAGATGTGCTAGACTCTGATGATTCTGTTGCAGATAAGACCTACGAACCAAATTATGATGAAGATTCAGAAGGAGTTGGTAGTAATGACGATGACTCTTCCCTGACTCCAAATGTTGATACTGCTACACTTGGAAATAAGGACACCAAAGAATTAGAGAGCCCAGCTAAAAAAGGTTCGAAAAGGAAGAAACAACCAGAAAAGTGGGGGCGACATCTCCAGAAAAAACTAAGAAATGAAGGAAAACGGTATGTAATGTACACCAAAGACAGAAAAGAAAGGGAAGAAAGAAAAGTAAAGCCTCCTTGCAAGGAAAAATGCAGGTTGAAGTGCTCAATGAAATTTACTGAGGAACAAAGAATGTCCATATTTGCATCGTACTGGGAACTAGGTGATATTGACAGACAAAGGCAGTTTATTGCCAATTCAATTGATGAAATTGTACCTAGGTACAGATATGTTCGTATAGGAGGTACAAGACAACAAAGAAAACCAAACAATGCTTTTTATTTCAAACTGAATGAAGGAAGAGTTAGGGTGTGCAAATTGTTTTTCATAAACACATTAGATATTAATGACCGCCCTATCCGCACAGTCCTGGAAAAGAAGAACAAAGTTTGTGAAAACTTGATTGAAAATGATCTCAGAGGTAAACACAGTAATCACCACACTGTTGATGAAAGCATCAAGGACGGAATGAGGGCTCATATTGATTCCATTCCAAAAATTGAGAGTCATTACCTCAGGGCTAATACATCAAGAGTTTTCATTGACGGAAGCAAGACTGTTGCTGATATCCATAGAGATTATGTTTCAAACTGCAAAGAGAATAATGCACCGTTTGGGAACTACTCTATGTTCTACAAGGTGTTCACTGAAGATTACAATATTTCTTTTTTCACCCCGAAAAAAGATCAATGTGACACCTGCGCAACCTTTGAAAATGCAAGTAAAACTGAAAGAGATAATCTGCAACAGAAGTATGATCAGCACCAAGTTGAAAAAGAATTGTCAAGATCTGCGAAAGCTAGTGATAAAGTATCATCAAATGCTGCTGTAGCAGTTTATGATTTGCAGGCTGTATTCCAACTGCCCAAAGGAGATGTATCCCTGTTTTACTACAAATCCAAGTTAAATGTTTTGAATTTTACAATTTATGACTTGAAATCTAACAATTGTGAGTGTTATGTCTGGGATGAATCCAACGGGCATCGTGGAGTCAATGAACTTGGCTCTTGTGTTCTTGACTATATCCATAAAGTTTCTGAAACTGGTAAGAAGGATATTATCTTTTATTCAGACAATTGCGGTGGTCAGCAGAAAAACTGGTTTATGTTAGCTCTCTACTTATATGCTGTAAATATTCTGGACCTTGATTCCATTACTCACAAGTTCTTAATTAAAGGACATTCCCAGAATGAGGGCGATTCAGCTCACTCATTGATTGAAAGGCAAGTCAAGCGACTCCTTAAGAGTGGACCAATCTATGTTCCAGAAACATTTCTAACTGCTATTCGAATGGCAAAAAAGAAAGGAGAGCCTTTTAGGGTGAAAGAATGTGATCATGAATTCTTCAAGAACATCAAAGTTTTGGCTAACGAAATTGGTCCTATGATGAACATGAAAGAGCTGAAAATTTCTGAAGTGAAAGTATTGAAAGTTACTAAAACATCTCCAAATTCAGTATTCTACAAACATTCTTATAATGAAAATTTCAAGGAAGCAACTGTTCTCAAGAAAAGAATATCAAAAGGAACCTTCACAATTCCACCATGCTTTGGTCACAAACCAGGTATTACTTCCAAGAAGAAAGAAGATCTTCTTGATTTGTGCAAAAGAAGCCTCATTCCTAATCCTTATAAGAAGTTTTATGAGAATCTGTAATTTTCAGATAATCCTGAAGAGAACATGAATCTATCTTTTCATTTTGTTCATTTAGTACAAATGGAATGCCTCAAATACAGGGGTACAACCACTTTCTTATTTACTTTATTTCATTCACACAGTTTATAGTTTGTCATAAAAGAATGTCTTAGATGCAGGGGTACAACAGCTTTGTTATGTTCTTTGTTTTCTTCAAAACAGTTTATAATTGTTAAGTAAAAAAAGGAGCGCCTTAAATACAGGGGTGCAACAACTTTGTCCTTTATTTTATTTTGCTCAAAAGATTATATTTATTTAAAAAGGAATGCCTGAAATACAGGGATACAACAGGTCTGTTATTTATTTTATTTTGTGCACACAGATCATGAATATGTGATCTGTTACTTCTGTATTAACAATTGTTTATTTCCTTTGTTTCTTACTCGTTTTGTTGTAATGTAGTCCTAACTTTAGTTACAACAGTGGAAATTCCATATATTTTTTTGCAATATTGTCATAACTCAAATTTTATTTTTTTCAAATAGCCACAAAGTATGTTTATAATAAGTGTATTTTATTATATTTGATGTCATGCACTACATTGAATCCTGAAATAAAACTTCATTGCTAAATACCTCTTTTAAAACTTACATGGAAGACTGTATTACATATTAAAAGTTTATTTTGCTTCTCCTGAAAAGTATCCTTTTTTGAGTTATGTCATTGTTGAAATGAATGAGCGATATGATACTTTACTTACCACTTATGGCTTTCTTCAGTTCGTCTTCCATTCTTGATCACAAACAATAGCACAAAAGAATGATACACAGTCGTAAATAGGACAACGAGCAAAGGATTGAGGGAGAAGCGGGAGAGAAGTCTTCATAACCGATCATTTTTGCTTAGTCCCCCAACCTCAGGCAGCATTTCATACTCACGCAAACTTTTATTTGCTCCCCAATTCTAGGTAACATTTCTCTCTCTCTCACGCATACAAACACATATACACTTTAAAAAAAATTTGGCCTTCGAAAATCAAGTAACATTCCACACGCAAACAGAAAATAGATAATCAGATCTCCGTAACGTAACATTTTTCTCATACTGTTATGCTATACATAATATTAAATTCAGCATTAGATTTCTTAGTTAAACGGTCACCCTCATTATTGTCAACAATTAATGATATAACAAAACAATCTAGACCATCCACTTACTGCGCAGTAACCTAAAATTTGGTGAAACCAGTACCATCACAAAACTTAGTGCCCCTAATTAAACATGAATTTTCTCCTTCCCCCTGTATATTGGTACCCCTAATTGAACTTGCCCCTAATCAAACAAGAGTTATCTCCCTTCCCTATAACTTAGTGCCCCAAATCAAACACGAGCTTTTCCCGTCCCCTATAACTTAGTGTTCCTATACAACATGAATTTTCTCTTTCCCCCTGTAACTTAGTGCTCCTAACTAAAAATGAGTTTTCTCCCTACCCCTATAACTTAGTACCCATATTTAACACGAGTTTCTCCTTCCCCCTGTAACTTAGTGCCCCTAACTAAAATTGAGTTTTCTCCCTCCCCCCTATAAACAAGATTACTATTCCATCGTACAGACTGACAGAAAGAGTAGGTCTAGAGTAAGACTAGGCATTATGGTCATTTCACATTTCACAGCCCATATTATTCCCTCCTTTTCCATGTGAGTGTATGTGTGTCATGTGTTTGTATGTGTGCTTATATGCATACGTGCCACAAGTGGTGCGCTAGAAAGGAAATGACTAATGCATGAGTCATGCAACCAACTTCCCGCGAGGCGGACTAGCACTCTCAATACACCACCGTTTCCCACACACTCGTATCAATCTTTTCTAGCACGTCGATGTGAATAACTTACTAATAATTTACAACATTTTTTTTTCTACCAACGAGAAAACAACCTGTAATGACGATAAGAACACAAATGAGTCGGTGAGGAGAATTATGCTAAGAGAAGTTGAAAAAGAAAATATTCAAAGGATACAGCAACAGGAGAGAAAGATATATAATGTAATTCAACTTACACCGTGTAGGTATAAATGTCGATAAAATATATAATAAAGAGAAGAAATACGATATAATAAAGAAGAGCAATATGAATGATAATGCCCTTATACAAAAGTCAAATCACACATATGATACTTACCACTTATGGCTTTCTTTAATTCGTCTTCCATTTTTTATCACAAATAATAGCACAAAAGAATGATACACAGTCGTAAATAGGACAGTGAGAACAACGAGCAAAGGGATTGAAAGAGAAGCGGGAGAGAAGTCTTAATAACTGTTCATTTTGACTTACTCCCCCAACCTCAGGTATCATTTCATACACGCAGACTTTGAAGAAAGCATTCAAACGATACAGTGGTAGGAGAGAATAGATGAATAATATGATTTTACACTGAACTATGTAGGTGTAAATATAAAAAAAAAGTATAATAAAGATAAATATAATATAATAAAGAATGAAAGACAAAATCTTATCAAAATACATAAGGAAGATAAAAAATGAATCTGCCAAGGTAGTAAGTGATCTAGTTCTTCACGCTAAAGCTACAGACATCCCCATACGGTGTGATAAAGAAAATAAAATGTTCATAGATATCTATATCAATATAATCGATAAAGAGTCGCATGTTTCTATCAAGAAAATAGAGAAACAGACAAAGCAATTGAATGAATGTCTGATAGATTATTTAGATGCTTTTATGAATTCAACAAATTCAACCTCCACAGCTATGCAGGCCCTAGCCAATCAATTTAATAATATCAAATTCAGCATTAGATTCATTAATTAAACGGTCACCTTCATTATTGTCAACAGTTAATAATATAATAACTTAGACCATCCAATTACTGCGCAGTAACCTAAAACTTGGTGAAACCAGTACCATCACAAAACTTTATGCCCCTAATTAAACATGAATTTTCTCCTTCCCCCTGTATGTTGGTGCCCCTAATTAAACTTGCCCCTAATCAAAAAAGAGTTTTCTCCCTTCCCTATAACTTAATGCCCCTAATCAAGCACGAGCTATTTCCGTCCCCTATAACTTAGTGTTCCTATACAACATGAGTTTTCTCCCCCCCCCCTGTAACTTAGTGCCCCTAACTAAAAATGAATTTTCTCCCTCCCCCTATAAACACGATTACTATTCCATCTCACAGACTGACAGAGAGAGTAGTTCTAGAGTAAGACTGGGCATTATGGTCATTTCAAATGAGTTGTGTATATTCATCCCATATTGTTCCCTCCTTTTCCATTTGTGTGTATATGTGTGCCGTGTTTGTGTGTATATGCTTATATGCATACGTGCCACAAGTGGTGCGCTAGAAAGGAGATGACTAATGCATGAATCATGCATGAGTCATGCAAGCAACTTCCCGCGAGGCGGACTAGCACCCTCAATACACCTCCGTCTCCCACACACTCGTATCAATCTTTAACACGTCGAGATGAATAACTTACTAATAACTTACTAAGATTTTTTTTTCTACCAACGAGAAAACAACCTGTAAGGACAAATGAGTCGGTGAGGAGAATTATGCTAAGAGAATCACAAGTTGAAAAAGAAAATATTCAAAGGATACAGCGCCAGGAGACAAAGATTTATAATGTAATCCAACTTACACCGTGTAAGTGTGAATGCCAATAAAATATATAATAAAGAGAAGAAATGCGATATAATAAAGAAGAGCAATGTGAATGATAATACACTTATACAAAAGTCGAATCACACGCCATTAAAAGTTGTCCGGATCACACGCACACATATGATACTTACCACTTATGGCTTTCTTTAATTCGTCTTCCATTCTTGATCACAAATAATAGCACAAAAGAATAATACACAGTCGTAAATAGGACAACGAGAACAACGAGCAAAGGGATTGAAAGAGAAGCGGAAGAGAAGTCTTAATAACTGTTCATTTTGACTTACTCCCCCAACCTCAGGTATCATTTCATACACGCAAACTTTGAAGAAAGTATTCAAACGATACAGCGGCAGGAGAGAAAGATGGATAATGTGATTCAACTTACACTGAATCATGTAGGTGAAAATATCGAAAAAAGTATAATTAAGAGAAATGTGATATATTAAAGAATAAAAGACAAGATCTTATCAAAATACTTAAGGAAAATAATAAATGAATCTACCAAGGTAGTAAGTGATCTGGTTCTTCACGCTAAAGCTACAGATATCCCCATACGGTGTGATAAAGAAAATGAAATGTTCATGGATATCTATATCAGTATAATCGATAAAGAGTTGCATGTTTCTATCAAGAAAATAGAAAAACAGACAAAGCAATTGAATAAATGTCTGATGAGTATTTAGATGCTTTTATGAAGATAGCATATCATCCTGATCGCTTACAGTTACTAAACGATACCACATCTTTTAAAGAAAGAATAATATGCATAACGCGCAAGTACTTTCCTACATTCAAATTCAACCCCCACAGCTATACAAGCTCTAGCCAATGAATGTGAATCGCATACCAATGCACCACGGTGTTATTTTACATTTATATTCAAGGATAATGAGTGTTTCAAACCTTTCATGAACACCACATTATCTTTACTGATTAATGATACTATACCGAACATATAGTTCAACAGACTATTTAAAAAAAATACTCATAGAGAAATGTTTGTTAATAACGATATTAGATGTGTTTTTTTTATCACATTTAAAAAGAGTAGAGTGCGACTAAGTTAAACTTGAATATATATATAGATGAAAATTTTCCAAAAAGATAAGAAAAAATAAGTTGAAGAATTGACTGACGACCTTTATGAGAGAGTAGTTGTAGAGTAAGGCTGGGCATGATGCAGTCATTTCAAGTGAGTTGTGGATATTCAAGACTGTAGATTGAAAATGTTTACGGGTTTAGTATGGTTAACGAGAAGTGGGTGATAGAAAGGTATGAAAACCTTTTTCAGGGTATACGTGTATGAAAGACCTTACCTAAGCGAAACTTTCAGTTGATCTCTTTTCCAATCATTAGCCTATACTTTAAGGATTCATAACTTCAATTTACCCAGTATGACGCAAAGAATATAACGCGAGCGCACTTTCATGAGTCACATTATCCAAATTTGTAGTCCACGAATAATACTATTCGTATAAATAACATTAATTCATATTCACTGTATATAACGTTAGAGAGATACTGTTCTAAGTGAATGTTTCAGATGTCGATGTGTTTGTGTTGAAGTACTGATTTGATTGTTATTTGTGAACGATTCATACAATTGTCTTTCTTTTGTAGTTATAGCTGCAATAAAACATCTTTAATTCTATTTGATATGATTTATATATATATCATGAAGAACGTATCAATAAGATGTTATACTTTGCCGACGCCAAGTAAAATTTCACACATACAAAACTTGTCGAATCTTCCCAACGCTGCAACAGATTTTACTTCGTCTAAGCCCCTCCCTCATTCGAGAAGCTTCGCACAAGGCTCAGTTCTCTCCCGGCCGCCACAACGTTAACATCACTACTCTTGACTGAGCTCCTGGACCAGAGACCAAAGCAAACGAAAGAACGATGTGATTTAACAAAGTTAAAATTGACGAT